TGGCTTGCCGAGTCAAAATGGTTTGGCTGAGATGTTTGTTGCATCTTCTGGCATGTATGGGACGAACACATTTTCTCAACGAAAAGCAATCAGAGTGCTTTGGGTTGAGGCCTACCTTAATCAACAGCCGGGCCCTGTAATCCACAGCTTGGCCTGAATCTTAAGTGAAGTTGGGAAGGGAGTTCAATTTCCAGTCCGCCAACTGACCTGACTGAACTGCATCATACTGCATCCGACTGGCCACAGCTCGAGAAGCGAAGACATCGGTGATACCAGCCACTGCACAAATCAGCGCGAGCTTCCCGATCCGCAGCGAAACGAGCAGAGTCCCAAGAAAAGTCGTGTAGTTTGGAAGATTCCTGATTTCCTTTTTTGCGATGCCCAGATTGGAGCATGCTCAATTGAGTTTCTGGACTCCCAGATCCTGTGTTGACTCACCCCTGCATGTATGGTGTCAGTATACCTCCTTTTGGGGGGGGTGGAAAATCAGACTTCTTCCACGCCTGGTTTTGGGCGCGATGGATCCACGATGGATTCCCACGACCTGAAGGAGAGACACGCAGGGAGGAAGCAAAAAGGTACCCCTGCCCCACAAGAAAGGCGGTAGATCCCTGAGCAAACCACAGCACGGGGAGCGAGCTTGCAATGATAAAGATCCCTTATTTCCAGCTGGTCGGTCACGATAGTTCCCTCATAAATGTTGAAGAAACGTCGTTGGGTCTTTGGGTTCTTCGGGCTCTTTGTTGAGTTTTGCACTAGGTGCTTGAGTGAGACTGGGCCAATTTTTCAGGAGCTTACTGAAGGCACCTGTGGGAGTTCTTTTAAGTCAGACTTATGACTTCGCACCCTCTCTGCTTGGCTCACAGAAAGTGGTTTGCCAATCCCGAAGCGGCACATTTTTGGAGAGGCGTGCCAGTTCCAATTGGGCGCCGCACGCCGGTTTCCTTTCAGCTAAAACAAAGACAGCAAGAAGAGGACTCCTCAAGCGGGCTCCCTGAAAGTGGAAGCGGACGCGTTGGCAGGTGCCTTCTAGGTCCGACAGCTAGGTGCCCTTTTAACTGTGTCTCTTTTGGGGGAGGGTTCCCCTACTCAACTAGACAAACAGGAAAAATACGGGTACCCTTATTCTAAGCGCTCTACTGGAAGACCAGCCTTTACCAGCTTGAGTGGATCCCCATGGGTTTTTGGTTGGACGTTGGATGTATCTTTGAGCAGCCCCGTCCCGTCCAATCCGGCGAGGCACAAACGCAGTCCCTGGCGGAAATCCGGCGCCAGAGGGCCAGGCGCGCAAGGGGATGGCCAGTCTTCCGGAATTTTATTCGGCAGCCCCGTAGGGTCCCCGGTGTCTCTGCAACTCTGCAACAGTGGCCAGTTGAGTCGTGGACTTTGTGTGACTCAAAATCGACACGCGATCACAATCAATCAGGGACCCTTTTTGCGCTGTTGCGCCCTTTGGAGACAAAAGGTCAAGGTCTAAGTCTGGAAGCCTGTCATTTGTGCTTTCAATGTCCGATTCTGGGCCCCTTCCTGGGGCGTGCTCCAAGAGAAAACATGGAGCTACACTTGTTGATGCTGCGGGTAGTGTTTCTGTATTTTCCTTTGTGTTTGGTTGGGTTGAAAGGGATCTGATTTCCCCATGGCAGGAAAAATGACGTTGGCTGGTGGCTGCTCATGTTGTTTTCAAATGACACCATCAAACTCGGGTATGGTCCCAAGGCAAACATTTTTTGGCGGCCTTAACCATTTGTTGAGTCGTTTGCGCATCTTTCGTGCCAGGGGTTTTGCCAGACCTCATTTTGAGAAGCTCTTACCTTGAACAGGCAGCCTTGAGGCGAACAGTGAGTTGTTAAACCTACAGGGTAGCCTTCGCTTGGAAAGGGTCGCAGTCTTTACTCTTCAGAACGCACCCAAGTTGTTCTTTCACTGTCGTTGGCCATTGGCTCGGGCTTCAACAATCAACTTGTTGCAACCAGCGCTTGAGAAGCCGAAGTGAATGGAAGCGAACTATTGCCCAGCGACCCATGGTTGTTGTTGGGAAAGATTTTACATTGTTGCTTGTTGTGGTTTGGGAACTCCCCACTTAACTGCCAAAGTTTAAATGTTTGCTCCCATTCCAACGTCAACCAAGGTCAACCAAGGACCTTCGTAAAGCCCGAAGCTTTGTTTTTCCCCAGGTCGACGCCTGCCAAGACTCGAAAGACACCGACAGCTTTGCCGCCGCCGCCGGATGGACGGAAGGTGCGTGCTTCCAGCAAAAAGGGACCACTTGGGGAGCCAAGGGCACAATACTAGATATATAAATATATATATATATATGTGTGTGTATTGCATATATATATAATAATAATAATAAATATGTTTTGTCCAGGCAGTGCGAACCTTTTGCATTTTTAGTGTTCCCGAGTTTACTTTGGAAAAGCAGGAAGTCAACCTTCGCGGGTTTGAAGGTGAATGGCCCCTACGAGTCACCGGTAGTCACTAGTCGCTTTTGGGCTGGCTGCTTGGGCCTGAAGTTGCCAAGTTCGCTGGGTTTCAAGTTGCCTGAGCTTGGGCTAGAACCAAACATGCTAGTTTCTTGGCATTCCCAGCGGAATCAAAATCAGAACCCAGGGTTTCTGAAACTAGGTCCCCCAATAGAACCCGTTTACCCTTTTTTTGAGGGGGAAGGTTCCCCTACTAAAATAGACTAAAACGAAAAAAGCCGGTACCCTTAGTTCTAGCCTCTCTACCGGACCTAGTGAAAGGTGGTGCGAAAAAAAACAATTCGCCCATCCGCTGTACTCAGCGCAGGCGTGGCCCTCGGGAAGTCCAGCAGATCGCCTGGCGTCGGTGGCCGGGCGCCCGGGGAGGTGAATTTCTGAAGCGGGCGGATTTGCCCTTCCCTGCACTCTTTTCTTGGGCAGATCCGCCTTTTTCCCACGAGAGAAGAGCAGATGCTTCTTTCTGCTTGTGACTGTTGTTTGTATTTTGCCCTCTTGATTTTAAAGGGAACCTATCACCACTGGAAGTATTTTATTTTTTCGAGGGGGCGAAAACGCAAATGGAAGGGACATTGAAGCTACGTGCCAATCGGATCACTGGGGGCTCGAGTCCACCAGGTACCTAAATACGCGATCATCATTCAATGATCTGCGCTCAAATTTTCCAACCCGATAGTAACAAACCCAAGGTGAGGTCATGTTCCCTTTTGGAGGAAGTCCAAGAACTCACTGAGTGAGTCTCAGCAAGCCGCCTCAAAATGCCCAAGCCCTCCCGTGGGAAATCAATCCCTAATTTGTTCCGGTTCCCATTGAAGTTAAAGCGCAAACTTGCTTGCCCAAAGTAAATCGACTTGTTCACCTTTTCAAGGCCGTTTCTGGGCTGTCTTTTTTGGTCAAGGCTTCGAACAGCCTGTGGTTTTAAGCGAGTGAGCGTAACCACGGATTCCAGATGTACCGGAAGGGAGGCTGGCAATCGGTACTTTTGCTGAGGTGCATGCGCCCAGCGAATCCTTCCTGAGCGCTGCAGCCTCATTAATTGCCCTCCGTCTTCAGGGTGGGAAGGGGGGATCTAAAAAGGTTCCGCTACATGGTTCTCTTTTCTGCCCCTCTTGCTGAACATGCTCGGGGCGAGTGGTTTCTGTGTGGAAGGGGGTGCTCAAGTTGACCTTTGCATAAGGTTCTGAATAATTTGAACGCGGTTTGGGATGTATTAAAGCCAGACCACATCTTCGCCATGGTAGCAACGGATCAAACGCTTACTTGTAGTTGTTTAGTCGACCTCGGAATTGAAATACGACCAAGTTCTCTTGGGCTGAGCTAAGCTAAATTTGGGCTTTTGGCACTCCACCCCTGGTGGACGGCCTATGGTGCGGCAGAAAGAGAGAGAGAGAGAGAGAGAGAGCTAAACAACTTGCTGGTGCGAGAAGTAGGGAATGAGGGAATGAGGGAGTGACCCTAAACCATCCAACTGGTGGTTTCCTTTGAGACCCATGGGTTCATTCAACCACATTCCCCAGCTATCGCGGCAAGTCTTCCCACGTCCCTGCTCGAGGCGGATCCGGAGCTGGTGGCTCGGAGCGTCTCTGATTATGGGTCCGTTTCGCTGGGAAGCTCCGGTTCGGAAGCTCCCCATGATAGTATTTCAGCTTGGCTGCTCTTGGGCAACGGATCTTTTGACTTTTTAACTTTTGGGTTGAAATCAAGTTGGGTTTTCCACTGAACTCCCAAAAAGTTGTCCACTTCTTGCAGGGGAGTCAGCAGCAACCAAGTTTCGGGGAAATTATGACAGGAGGCATCCCCGTTTCTTGGGGTGGGAAACCCACAGTTTCCCGTGGAGAATCCATGCAGCTTCGATTGGCTTGCTTCGTGGGACAGCGGCTGGTGTGTGGGCCGGAATTCCCTCCAGGATGAAAGTAACAGAGTTTCCAGCAAGCTGATTGTTGGGTCTGAGGATGGGGTCCAACTGGAACTGGTGGGGGTGTCCAACTGGTTGACGCTTTTTGCGTAAAACATCCAGGATCTACGCTCAAATCTCAGGGCGGACCCAGCAGTGCAAAGGGGTATGCAACCATAGCCACCATATTTTTTTGAGGGTACTTTTTTTGGGATGGTTGCACGGGGAAGCCAAAAGGAACAGCACCATGTGGCGGGGGACTCGTGAAGAGAATAGCCAGATGTGCTCACGAGCACACCTGCCGCTACAAATTGACTTCCCCTCAAGAGGGCAGGATACAACACCAATAAATTTGGTCTTCCCCCCCACCCACACCACCACCACCACCCCCCCACCCAGACCACCACCACCACCACCACCACCACCACCACCACCACCACCACCACCACCACCACTTCTACCACAAACCACCACCAACACCACCGCAACAACCACAATCACAACTGCAACAGCAGCAGCAGCAGCAGCAGTAGCAGTAGCACCAGCAGCTCCAGTCAGCAGCACCAGCAGCACCAGCAGCAGCAGCAGCACCAGCACCAGCAGCAGCAACAGCAACAGCAGCAGCAGCAGCAACCACAACAGCCACAAGAACCCGAAGACAAGAAGCGGATTCTTCCCGCGGCCAAATCCTCGACCCGGCCCTCCTTTTCGGCTCCAGTGGCTCAGAGACTGGGCCATGGCGCGCCAGCTTGGGCATCGATCCGCACCTCGGCATCGACGGGCCTGGCTCCCCATGGTTTGTGACTCATACCCAAGAAATTCCAGTGCCCCAGAAATTTGGCTGGGACTCCCGTTCTGGCAACGCTTGTGCCCAAGCTCTAGGACCAGCCTGGAGCACAGTTGATCACTTCGACTGCCAGTTTGCAGTACGCCTCTCACTACGAGCCGCATCTCTTGGTGGTCCCGCACAACAGAGGCAGTCACCTGAGAATAATAGATCCCACAAACTGCCCGTCCTTGTGAAACAGCAGGCCGGGCGGTGTACTTTCCCTAGTGCGTGCGTGCAACACTCCAGGCTATGTCCTTAAAAATGCTACTTATACCCACATTGCATGTTTTGCATGATGATGTCTTATCTACCCAAGGGGAGCAATAATATCCCTTAATGCGTGAGTGTCCCACTAGCGCAATCTCACTTCACTGGTTGCGCGCGGCTCAGGTAAAAAGCAGCGTGCGCTCGCTGGTTTATTTAGGGCTTTTGTTAATTAGCTGTAGCAGCCTGTTTGTTGTACAGAATCGTGCACCAGGAGTGCTGATCCTGGATCTTAGCTGGGATATCCATCTTTCATTGTTGCGAGCTTGGGGAAGCCCGCCTCACGCACACCAGCTGCCCCGCCTGACAAAACCGGCGCTCCGACGTAGCCTGCGTCATCCAAACAAACATCTCGGGCAAAGACTTGAGCAATCTTGGGCAGCCTAACAAGAAGCTGTGAGTCAATGAAGCCTGTAGGAAACTGCGAGCCGAGTGAACGCGTGTAAGTTCTGCGACTGCTAGCAACTTGCGCAAGAGACCCGCCTGTCACGTAATCTGTACGTGACCTTGCGAAAGTGTGGCGCCTGTGAAAGTGCTGCACCTGCCACAAAGTTTGCACCTGGCCGCCACAAAGTTCACCTAAGCGCTGCGCCTGTCACGCCAGATGCGCGTTTGTGCCAATGGGCTGCTCCGAGGGGTCCGACGAGGCATCGCAATCAGGCGGACGTTCGGGCATCCGAAGAAACTGCAGCCCGAAGAGGGCAAAACGTTTCGCACATTTTTTCCCCCAACCAGAGCTAGCTTTCAATTAGTCCTTTCAACTCCCTTTTGCAATAGATTTTGCAGAAACCCTTGGTTTATCGGGTTGCGGCTACTTTCTAGTAGCTCCTAACTTTTAGCCGGAGTTGACTTTCGCTTGTGTCATTTCCAGGGTTGCTAATCCATGTCTGGTTTGGAGGACCGGCCGTTTTCATTCACGCAGCCGAAGGGTGAGTTCGTGTGTGTGGCTTGGACCGGCCGTTTTCCCAAGTGCCTGGAGGTTTTCTGGACAGATTCGGATCCCTGGGAATGGAAATGGAAGCCCTTGCCCGGATTCGAGGCACTCCGGCCATGGCGGCGGCCTCTGACGAGCTGGTGCGAATGAGTTTGGGGGGGGGGCCCTGAAAGGAAGCCATTGGTGGCCCTTTCCCGGAGCACCAGCAAGTAATTCCCCCCCCCCCCGGGCCCCCGAGTTCAGAAATATGTGTGTTTGCCATATCGCAGGGTGCTGTTTGGTAGGGCTTGGTCCTTGGTGGGACTTGCTCCTTTCGGTCAGGGGAAGCCTCGGTTTAGGTTTGGGCCTGAGGAACTGGGTGCTCTCAACTGGGAGGCGGAAAAGGGCTGTGAGTTGTTTAGGACCTTTATTCTTCCCCAGAATTGGTTCCCCTCTTTACTGTGTTGCTTTTTGGGGGCTCCCCAGTGTTTTCCTCTAACCAGGCAAAAAAGTATATTTTTTGCCGGGGTCCTAATTCCAGCCAAGTATTCTCATGGGGTGCGGGTCAATGAGAACATCAATGGCGACTCAGGGAGCTTCCAACCTTTGCTTGGCATATGACCCTCGCAAAGAAATCACGGTGGTGACGCCTTCCGTTCGGTATGTCAAAGGCTGAGACGGGAGAGTGGGCTCGCATAGTGTGTCAAGCAGGTTGTGATCCTTTCGGAGCAACTCTTTGGTGTGCCTTAAGGTTGAGTGCATGTCCTGAGCTGGTGGACATTCTGTTGAAGAGTGCAATATGAACCATGCTGTGGATGGACCAAATCCTGCACCACCTACGAAATCCTGCAATGATGCTTCGCCTGTAAATGCCAGCAACCAATGGTTTCAACCATGGTCTCCTAGGTGGTGAATAAATGCGAATGGATTTCGTTCATCCACACTGCCCCCTTCTCGCAAAGGCTTGTGAAACGATGCTCTTGTTTTGTTCATTGCGGAAGAGATTATCCTCACGCGCTTCCTCCTTTGGAAGCCTGGAGCGTGCAAGCCGACTTTGAGACTTGCTGCTCGTTCCAGTGCTTTCTAAGTCAGCTCTGGCTGGTGCCAGCCATGTTGCTTGCTCACTGGAATCAAGGTCGCTTCACACTTCTCGGCAGGATTGGTTTGCATTTTTGGGTTCCTTTCATTTGGTGACTAGCGGGGGCTCCAAAAAATGCCAAGATCATGTTGGTAGGTGGCTGGAGTTGGGAACCGGGCCATTCCCTGCGACAAAAACAATCGGCGCGCCTAAAACTGGAATGCCACCACCGATTTGGAGAAGCAAATGGGAAGTATGGTTGCCTGGATTGTCTTAAAGAGGCTGCCTAGTTTTGACACACGACGCATGATATTTTGGGAAAGGGGACCCTGATGGACCTTGCTTGGAAGAGCATGGCGCATGTTTCAAGATGAGATTTAGGGGCTCCCATTTGAACCCAGGACCCCTCATGGTTCTGCTTAGGCGACGCGCGCACGGAGGAAGGAGGCACGAGCCGGCTTTTGATCACCCCCTCCAGGTAGAGACGGCGCCTTGGTTGAGAGATGTTAAAAGCACCGCAGGAAGTTGTTCTGACAGTAGTTCTGGCTGTACCTTCCCCATGTTTCCTCAGGGATCCTGCTCGGACAGTGGCCAAAGAATTGAAAAGGAACACATGTGCTGTTTCTTGAAAGGATGTGCGAGGCGAATGGGAATTCCTCCCTTAGAATCTAGAATGACAGACAAACATGAAGGGGCACCCTCCCTGTTCGCCAGCGGACGGAAAACTGTTTGCGCAACAATAGGCGAACCCCGGACCTGTCTCTTATGCTCAGAAGGGCAAGCTTAGGCAAGCAAACAATGAGACACACGAGCGAACAAGCAAGCAAAGAAACAAAAAGAAAGAAAGAAAGAAAGAAAGAAAGAAAGAAAGAGAGAGAGAGAGAGAGAGGAAGAAAGGAAGAACCCACACCTACAACCTTTGCAAACTGACGCCAAGCCTCCAAACAGGGTTACCCTTCTCGGAGCTTTTAACGACCTCGGGCCTTCCGATGTCAGGCCTCCGTGGGGAGGAGGACGGAGTCTCAGCCGGTCCCGCCCTCGGGCCTCGGGAGGGAGGGTACGAGCTCACCAAACAAAGGCCCAATTTAGCTTGGGAGTCGTCCAATTCTTCGCAAAATGTGGAGGATGGACTGTCGATTTGGTTTTCTTGGGGCCGATTTTCTGTGTGAGGTCGCAACCCAGAACTCCAATGCCCTGCGATATGGGCGGGTTCACCCTTTAACATGCAGAGTGGTGCCCTTTTTCCCACTGCTGGTGGTCCCAGAAGTGTCCCAGAGACCAACATCACAGCCAGTAGCCGTCGCCTGGTTGCCTCCGGGGGGCAAAAGGTCAAATGATGCCAGGAAACCCCCCAAGCAAATGTGTCATGGTGCTAGGGAATTTCAAGGTCCAACATACGGTCAACACAGCTGCTGTCCCGCGATCCTGGTCAGCTACTTGACTTGGGACTTTGATGTAAGTCCCGTACTTGGGGACCTGGTCGTCCATTTCTCATTGGTTTTGGACACATAGTTAGCGCTGGATTGGCACGGACGGAGCCATACAACTGCGTGATATCACAAATCCCGACTTGTGCCTGGCGTGATTTTGTTGTCCATCCACAGGGATCCATGAAATGTCTCATCAAGATTACCCTTTGAACCCGTTCTTAGGTTTCTTTCAATAAAGGGAAAGCGTACAGGGAAATCACAAGGAAGTCCTCAAAGCGATTCTCAAAACTACTTACCCTTGAGGAGCACTTTTCAGTTGGCAATGGACACAAATACCCTCCCACCAATCAACATGGCACCTGACGTTTGGGGGGTCCTGGAAGATGATTTCCTTAGGGGACCGGGTCCCTGTCAGGTTCCACGTTTGGTGGGAGGGTACCTAATTTTTACCCCTTTGCGGTTCCAAGCCCTATCTCAAGGGAAGGAGAGCAGTTAGAGACACATTCAACTTATCCATAAACTAACTTCAACACAACTACAAACACAAACAAAACACAAACCACACCCTCAACCCTCAACCCAAAAGCAACACACACACACAAAACAATCGCATTTTTGTTTCTGTTTCCGTCTCCCCCCCCCCCCCCCGCCCCCCGCCCCCCTCCCTCAAAAAAGCAAAGAAACGCCGACGGGATCTCGGCGAGGTCTTCGAGTCCCAGCGCCTGCCGCAGCTGGGCCGCAGTGCCTCCCAGCCGCCCCGGCAGGCCGATGGGCGAAATGGAACCCGGAGGGAGCGAAAACGAGCGTCTGGGCGGTTTTAGGGGTGGTTTTGGGTTTAGGGTTGGTTTTTGGTGGATTTAGGGCTGCTGGTTTTGGCGGAGGTTTTGGTGGATATAGGGCTGCTTTTTGTGGATTTAGGGCTGGTTTTCGTCTCTACGTCGCGCTACACACCCTTATTCTAACCTCTCTACTGGAGGACTTTAGGGCCTGGTGGGTGGATTTAGGGCTGGCGTTGGCGGATTTATGGCAGGGGTCTCCTTTGCTCCGGTTTTCATCCCTTTCGGGAAGCGGTTGGAAGCTGCCACCCATTTTGTAGGGCTGCCCTTGCCTGCCTCCGAAAAGGCTTGCCTCCTTTGTGTGAAGATGTGGCTCCGAAGGTGCCCACATCCCAAGTGTGGGAAACGTATTTGCATTTATTTGCAGATTGGCGGAAGGACCCCAAAGAGGGTGTGTGTGTGTGTGTCACTAACGGCACGTGTTTTTTTTAGGTACCCCAGAAATGGTTGCAGAAAGGACTGACTTTGTCTCGCGGAGGTCATGAGCCAAGTTGTTTTCCAGGAGTTCTTTGTTGCTACTTGGTAAGGCATAGTTGGCTTATTTTGGTTTAGTGGGAAATCCCCACTTAACTGCTAAATTGTATTTTTTTGCTCCCCTTCCAACGTCAACCAAGAAGGGATGTTTGGACTTTAACTTTTTGATTGAAACAGCTCCGATTTTCCGTATTGGACCCACAGCAAGTGCAGAGGGGTCCTTCCACCCTTTCCAGCAACCAACTAAGCACATGAAACCAAGAGGTTAGGTTGGCTGGTCGGAAGGGAGAGAGAGACAGAAAGAGAGAGAGAGAGAGAGAGAGAGTGAGAGAGTGAGAGAGTGAGAGAGAGAGAGAGAGAGAGCCATGACTCGTGCAGCGGAAGTACAGCGCAGGGACGGACAGAAGAAAGGCAGGAAGGTTTAGTTCAAAAAGTACCCCGCTTTCGGGGCGGGAAAACAAGTTCGCGGATGCTCGTTTTCCAGCAGGGGGGCTCAAAGGGAGCCGCAACTTGTTCCTTTGTTTTTTTTCAAAAAGTAGTGCTTGGTGACTGAGGGCAGGGGTCCCCTTTAGCTATTCTAATTCAGTATTGGGGGGGCCCCGTGTTTTGGACAACTTGTTTTTATCATTAGGGGGACTGCCATTAGGTGGGAGAGGTTTCGGGACACACCAAAAGCGCAAAGTTTGCCATGGTTGGTTGTTGTTTTGCTTGCAATACTCGGGGAACCGACCTTGCCACTTTTTTTCTTCTTCCTTAAGTCCTTGCTTGGGTAAGCAATGCGTTCATCTTGGCCAGGACTCAGCGCGAAACTCCAAGTCCAGCACCCTTAGAAGTGCGCTAAGCAGCCCTTAGCAGCCCATCTTGATTTTGCCACGGGGTTGATTCTCTGCGGGTCTTTGGTGCATTTTGCTTGGATATTAGGACTTTAACTTTTTGAGAACTAATGGGTTTTCCCATTAAGCCACGAAAAGTTAAACTTTTAGCAGGGGAGCAGAAAGCGACCGAGGGGTGTTTGTTGTTTTCCTGTTCAGGCCCCTATTTTCATACATCGCATGGGCCTTCCGTAAGCCCTGAGATCTCACGAATCCAGGCCGGGGATGAGATCTTTAGCATCATGGTCATGAGGCGCGGGCCGCGAGCGCTGTGGTGGCAAGTTGGGTTTGGGGCTGTGCGTAGGGCCACGTTGGTATCACAGGCAGGCTGATTTTCTGGAAGCTTGGTGTGAGGCGTTCAGACCCCAAGTCGGGAGCCTTTTGTGCTATTGGGGCTTGAAGGCATGGAGGTTATGCCACTTACCTAAGGGGGAATACACCCCCTTGACAGCGTGAAACGCTTATAGATCGAGACGGAACCCCCTGAGTATATAGTGAACCCTTACTGTTCCAGACACCTTGCCGCCCAATGCCAGATTAGAGTCAGACAGTACTAAGCCAATCGCAAAATCCAAAACAGATGACTTAGAACGATTACTTTTCTGTTGGTTGCTGTGTGTGTGTGTATGTGTATGTGTAAGTGTCTGCGTGTCTGTGTGTCTGTGCGTGTCTGTGTGTGTGTGTGTCTGTTTGTGTGTGTGTGTGTGTGTGTGTCTGTGTGTGTGTCTGTTTGTGTGTGTGTGTGTGTCTGTGCGTGTCTGTGTGTGTGTCTGTGTGTGTGTGTGTCTGTGTGTGTGTGTGTGTCTGTGTGTGTGTGTGTGTGTGTCTGTGTGTGTGTGTGTCTCTGTGTGTGTGTCTCTTTGTGTGTCTGTGTGTGTGTGTGTCTCTGTGTGTGTGTGTGTGTGTGTCTCTGTGTGTCTGTGTCTGTGTCTGTGTCTGTGTCTGTGTCTGTGTCTGTGTGTGCGTGTGTGCGTGTGTGCGTGTGTGCGTGTGTGCGTGTGTGCATGTGTGCGTGCGTGCGTGCGTGCGTGCGTGCGTGCGTGCGTGCGTGCGTGCGTGCGTGCGTGCGTGCGTGCGTGCGTGCGTGCGTGCGTGCGTGCGTGCGTGCGTGCGTGCGTGCGTGCGTGCGTGCGTGCGTGCGTGCGTGCGTGCGTGCGTGCGTGCGTGCGTGCGTGCGTGCGTGCGTGCGTGCGTGCGTGCGTGCGTGCGTGCGTGCGTGCGTGCGTGCGTGCGTGCGTGCGTGCGTGCGTGCGTGCGTGCGTGCGTGGCGGGCGGGCGGGCGGGCGGGCGGCGGGCGGGGGCGGGCGGCGGGCGGGCGGCGGGGCGGGCGGGCGGGCGGGCGGGCGGCGGGCGGGCGGGCGGGCGGGCGGGCGGGCGGGCGGGCGGGCGGGCCGGGCGGGCGGGCGGGCGGGCGGGCGGGCGGGCGGGCGGGCGGGCGGGCGGGCGGCGGGCGGGCGGGCGGCGGCGGGCGGGCGGGCGGGCGGCGCGGGCGGGGGGGGCGGGGGCGGGGGCGGCGGGCGGGCGGGCGGGCGGGCGGGCGGGCGGGCGGGTGCGGGCGGCGGCGGGCGGGCGGCGTGGGCGGGCGGGGGGTGGGTGGGTGGGTGGGTGGGTGGGTGGGTGGGTGGGTGGGTGGGTGGGTGGGTGGGTGGGTGGGTGGGTGGGTGGGTGGGTGGGTGGGTGGGTGGGTGGGTGTGTGTGTCTGTGTGTGTGTGTGCGTGTCTGTGTGTCAAGTCAAGCTGGTCCTTGAACCGCGATGTATTCTGCCAGGAGTTTCGAAGACAATGGGTGGACTCTTTTTTTTTGAGCTGGCTGCTTCCTTCTCCTGACACAACGGGGGTCGCATTGAGTTTGTGTGCTGGTGACCTGGTGTGTTTGCCAGATCTTGCGCTGGCATGCCAAGCTGGAGATGCTCACCTTCTGAGTACGCAACTTTGAACCAATTTGCATATACACCGCCCAGCTCAGGCTGTTGTTTTGCTTTCTCGGTCCTATGTCCTAGCATGCGGTTTCATTCGGCTGCTTATCAACATCACGCACTCGTTCAACCTTGCAAAACAATCCGGAAAGCGAGGGCCGGCCCTTCAGTCTTGACACAGAACCAACTTCGAGCAACCCTCCGAACTTGTCCATTGAAGAGTCTTGTCGGGAAACCACCGCGGAACTCCAAACCACAAATGGGTATGAGTCAAAGCTAAACCACCTGGGGACACTGGGGACCGCAGGTTTGTGCCTCTGTTTCCATTTGCCAGGGTTTCATTTTGGGTACCTATACGTTTGGAACACACCCAAATCCGCACCAGAGAAGACATTTAGAGCTACAGGACTGGGGGACTGGGGAGGTCTCAGCCTGCATCGCGTCGCGCCTCCGCTGGGCAGGCAGCTGCAGATGCGGAAGGACTTGGCGGGTCAAGCGCGGCAAGCCTCCAAGAACCTGCCCAGGCGAAGAGCTCAGAATCGAGAGAGCGCTCGATTCCAGTGTCTCGCCTTCTCGGAAACCCAGAGAAAACTGGGCAGGGGGGGGCTGTCCGGAAGATATGGATTTCATTTTGGTGGTGGCCTTGTTTGGCCTGCTTTACCGGGGAACTTGAGTCAATTTGTAGGGCTCCGATTCCTATTTGGAGACACTTCTACATGACTTATTGGAAAGCCCATAGGCTTGTTGGACGTCTAGTGCTTCTGAATTTCCCAACACTGCCTTGACGTTCCCGGTCACCTGTAACCAGAAAGGATTTTTTGCAAGCTTGCCAGCTTGCCAACTCGACCTGAGACTCGGAGAGAGGTGAGAGATCCCTCGCACTGTTTAGGGAGGCAGATAAGTTTCATGTGGTTGATCCTGACACTGATTATCAGTCTCGAATATTGACGGTCCAAGGTCGATGGAAGGTGAAGTTGGGTGTACGGTTTCAGGCAGGTTTCTTTAACTATTCCCAACCCCCCACACCTCCACCTTCACCTCACCAACACACACACGCACACACACACACACACATATATATATATATATGTATACCCACAAACATACGTGTCGCCCACAAGGTCTTATTATGCTGTATGTTTCTCCTGGCAGGCTTAGGGTTCTTCTGTTTAGGGTTTTTAGGTTTAAGGTTTTTAGGGTTTAGGTCTAGGGTTTTTAGGGCTTAGGTTTAATTTTTTAGGGTTTTGGTTTATGGTTTTTAGGGTTTAGGTTTAGGGTTTTCAGGGTTTTTAGGGTTTAGGTTTAGGGCTTTTAGTTAGGGTTTAGGTTTAAATAGGGTTTTCAGGGTTTTGAGGGTTGGGCTTATGGCTTTTAGGGTTTAGGTTCAGGGTTTTTAGGGTTTTTAGGGTTAGGGTTTAGGTTTTTTTGTGATTTAGGTTGACGGTTTTTAGGGTTTAGGTTTAAGGTTTTAGGGTTTAGGTTTCAGGGTTTTTCAGGTTTTCCAGGTTTTTTCAGGGTTTTTAGGGTTAGGGTTTATGGCTTTTGTGGTTTAGGTTAAAGGCTTTTAGGGTTTAGGTTTAGGGTTTTGGTGGTTTAGGCTTTAGGTTACGTTGTTCAGGGTTTAGGTTTAGGGTTTTCAGGGTTGTTAGGGTTAGGGTTTTTGTTTGGAGTTGGCTGGCCGGTGCATCCGAGGCTGGCTTTCTGCTTTATGAGGGTTGGGTTGATGATAGCGGTATATAACCAGGAAAAGTCGCCGCGCTCCATGAAGGGATATATAGACCTGTATATAAATATATATATATATATAATATATTCATAATGTACATATTTACATATATATATATGTATATATATATATTCTTACCGTGATCGTGCTACATGTGCTACTTTTCACTCTCGTGCTTTGCAGCAGCGCAGGTTGGATTGCCCGTCGCAAAACCACCAGGACCGGCTCTATGGGGAGGGGGGGAAGCAAGAGGAGGGGACAAAGAGGCACTGGTTGCCTTCAAACATTCACAGCATGATTTGTGGAAAAAGTCCCTGGATTCGGCGAATCAAAGCGAAGACAAATGGAAACCAAATAAGCTTGAGAATGAGCCGGCCTACCCCATGCAACCCTACTTTGGGCTGTAGGGTTTTCCGTTGGATCGGTCTGCGGCTTGATTCATCCCAATTGTTTTTTGGCTGTCTGACACATCTGAGAGGTGCTACGGGAAGACCATGCAGAATTGAAGTGTACTTGGGCTTCTCTCAGGAGCAGGCGGCCATCCTCATCGCATCTATGGCGCGCTGGGATCGTGGAGTCTCAAGAAGCGAGTGCTGGCTCAGTCTTCCCCATGGCATTTTTTCCGCGAATGCTTCCCTAAGACTTGGGGCAGCGATGGGTGCAAATGACTTGGGGGTATGGGAATGAGGGAATGAGCTCGGCCCCAGGCGTTGTTGTGAAGCCAACATTTAGGGCCTGCCACCCTGTTTTCACTTGCTTTTCTTCAAGCAGGATGCCAGTGTTTATGTATGCGTATGTGTATATATATATATATATTTATTTATATACAGATGTGGCATGTGAGTTAGGGGTTTCCACGCAAGGGCCAGAGCCTTCTCGGCTGTGAAAAAAGACGACTACTTCAGCACCTGCTGTCTCAGCGATGTGTTTGCTGTTGGGTGGAGGCGACCGGAGTGAGCCAGGTCACAAGTGGGGTCGGTCGACCTTGTGCTGTGCTCAAGGGGTGAGCGAGCACAAGGGACGAGCGTACAGCGGGCTGAAAAGCAGAGCTCACTTTCTGACTCCTGGACTTCAGACTTTTTGGGAAGACCATTTTAGTGGTACACTGGAAAACACAATGTTTGGTTACTTTGTTTGGCCAGTCCACTCAGGAAGTGAGATAGGGATGAACAGGTCAGGAGAGAAGACTCCCGCCTCCCCCAAATAGAGGCCTCCCAACATGTCGCTATTTGCCAAACTGGAAACTATCAGGATGTTACCTTTCCAGAGCCTTCTTCCAGACCCATCATGTCTACCCATGTGCTGCCCATATGAGGTGTCAAATTACTTGTTTCCACACAAGGACATGTCCTATTGAAATCGGAGCATCGACTGCCCGCATGAACCTGCGCCTGACCGAGCATCGCGGATCCATGGCTCTCGCCTTGCACTTCCATGGCAGGCGGGGTTCATTTCTCTGGCCGCCTGGCCTCACTTCCCGCAGGGTTTCTGGGAGTTCTGTTTTGAGATTCCTCGCTGGAGTTGAGCCATTCATGGACCGGTCCTTCGCTTTCGCCGTGGAAGTTGCCAGCGCCTGGGGTCAGCAAAGCTCCGGAGTCAGGAGCTCTGAGGAGATCTGACCGGAAGGTTCCAAAGTCCGGACAGCTTTGGAAGGTTGCAGGGCTATGGAGCGGTTGGCTAGGTGTCCTTTCTTTTGCGTTCCACAGAGCTGTTGCGGGGTCACGGAGGGTTCTGGAGGATTCCGGAAGGTTTGGAGCATGTGGGAGGGTTTCATGAAGCAGTTGGATAGCTTGTTGGGGAGGCCACCTGGCAAGACGAATCCATGAAGTTTGTTAGCCAAATCTACAAGGTTTCCATAAAGATAGGCTTGGGGGTGGTGGTTGAGAAGGCTCGGGGCTTCTGTGGGGCGCTTGCTGGATAAGGCTACGGAGGGGTATTGCTGGATGGCACGCGCGGTTGCTGCAAGAGCTCCGATTTCGGATGGGGATGGAAAGGTTCTGGTGTGGCGTGGAGTGGTTGTTGGATGTGTGCGGCATGAGATTCCAGTCGGAGATGCCACCTGGGCATATTCTTTTGCATCGCTCGGCATTTACATCCGCATTGTTCACGACATCCGTTCACTTTCCCAGCATAATAGTGTGTATCTATTTGTTGTTTCGTTGAGCCATGTTGATCCTTGTTTTCTCCAAGAATCATATCATGCAGGGTCACTCACCTAAAAGTGGCAACCAACAAGTTATGTTTAAAACCATCCCTGTGGGGGGAAGTCTCTCGATTTTGGAAACCGCCAATCGATTGCAACTTTTGCCTCGGGGAAATCCAGTGACCCAGTGCCCCATCCCGTGAGTTCGTTCAGGCCGCTGGTGATGACCGCTTTCTGGCTGCCAGCGGCTTGGTTGTGGCTGACGCGGCTGGGCTGGGCGCCTTGGCCCAAGCGAGCCGTTGGGAGAAAAATTGGAGTTGCCTAGGGGCTAGGTCTCCCAGTAGTGCCCCTTTCCCCTTTCTTGGGGGAGGGTTCCCCTACTAAAACTACAGAAAAATGGGTACCCTTATTCCAACCTCTCTACTGGAGGACCTAGGGGGGCTCTGAGAATGGCCCCTAGCGGTCTTTGAAGAGGGAGCTAAGGAGCTACCTGTCCTGCAAGGACATGGCAGTGATTTTCCCTAGGGGCTTACGGAAAATCACTTTGAACCGTGGCTCAGCAGGTGACGTGGAAGCAATGCAAAAGGGAACCCAGGCTGGATCGATCCCAAACGCCAGGAGAAGACTTGGAGCATCTGTTGGATCCCTCTGGCCTTGGCCTTCTCCGCCTTGGCCATTTGCAAGGGCGTGAGCCCTGCCTTCTTCCCCAGGCCTTGGCAAGGGGGCGGGGGGGGGGGGGGGGGGGGGGGCGGGGGAGGTGCGAGGTCGGGGTATTCCGGGCAGGCTGGGCGGGGTCCCTAGAATCCAATTGCCAATGGAGTAAAGTCGGTTTTCCCTTCTTACAAGGAGTTCAACACGCCTGAGTCACAGCCAACCCGTGAGAATTTGGAAGGACATTGGTCAGGGAGACTGCCAAAAACAAGCGGTTTTTTGATCGGTTTCCCATTATTGAAGACTGCCCAAACAGGGTAATTACCCTCAAAACAAGACACACCTGAGCCTGAGGAGAGCTGGGATTTCTCTTGATATGACTTCACACTTTAAGGTTCGCTCGATGTGGGGGATAAGAGTCACTTTGAGGGTGTCTCACTTGCAGATTCGACCACCCTCTTCACTGCCTTGACCGCGTGCGCTGGGTGATCGCGATCTTTGCGACCTTGCTGCCGCTCGGTTATTGAATATCAGGCAGGTTGGGACTTTCTGATTCGCCCTCAGAAAGAATTAGTTGGAGCACTGTGAAAAGCAGGTTTCGAATCCTTTGCGGGCTGCAAACACAAGGGGTTAAACATGTATTTAGTTTTTATGGGAGGGACTGTTTGCCTCGCAAGGGGTCGCCTCAAGCTTATGCAACAAGAGCAGAGGGTGACTTTATTCCTTCTGATGGGTTTCTCTTCCAATTCAGGCGCGAAAAGGTGTCCTTTTCAGGGTTATCTTTTGACGAATCGCTTTACATTGGGCAAAACCTGAGGTAGAAGAAGCCGCTCATGGTGTTTCCCCTGTTGAATCTCACGATGTCTACCTCATGGTAAAAGGAGTATCGAGAGGGCTTCAAGAGCCGCTAACACGTTGCTCCTAGAATCGTGACTGACTTGAGTTCAACGTTAAGGTCCCAAGCGCCAAAGGTGAACGGATCATTGATTGTTCCAGACACCCTGTTTCTTACGAAGAAAAGCTAAATATTTTGCCATCATGGGCAGATTCTGTTGGAATATTCCTCCACAAAGAAGGGTTGTAGGTTCCTAACAGTGCTCCAGCATATTCTTTATTTGAGGCAGGGTGCAAAAGCACTTCAGCCAGCTGAAGCAGGACCTTTCCCACCAGACCAAAAAAGTAGACAGCATCTTGGAGGAATGTTCAGGTGGAAAGTCTGGGATGCCCTGCACGTGCAATGGCCTATCCTTTCTTTCCCTGGCTTGCATATGGGTTCGCGTTTGTGTTTAGGGTGCCGCTGACCGCTTGCTTTAAAGTTTAAAGGGCAACCAAAGGACAAGCATCATTTGGAACCAGGGCCCCTAGTCTGGCACATACCCTCACTGACTTCTCCCAGGGCTAATTTGTTTTGAACCCCCCGGCCTGGGCCTTTGGGCCTTGGGCTTCCCACGAGGCTGGTGGCTTTCTCGCTGGGCTCCGATGGCGCAGTGCAATCCTTCATGCAGCTGAATGCGCCGCTGCGGCTCAGCCTCCGCGACTTCTCTGAGCAGAAGGCGAAGGGTGACGGGGTTTGGGGGCGGGATTCATTTTTTCCAGCGCCGCGGGGCTTTCTGGGGGTGAAGGCGAGTTGCAAGCTGCAACGGCTTCCCTTGGGACGCGAAACTTCCACTGATTCGACCCCAGATTCCTCGGAGCAATCCGTACATGTACTTTGCAGAGGCTAACGTGCTCCATGCATCCGCAGAGGTAGGCTTCGTCTTGCACCTCGGATCTGGCATACTTCCTTACCGACGCAAGAACTCGACTTTTGCCGACGCGTCCTTTGAGCCGGCAAGGCTCTCTATATTTGGACCTTGCAGTTTTGCACTTTCCCCGGGGCTTCCTTTAAAATCAAGGGCAGGGCAAAGCCTTTTTGGCGCTTCGTGTTCTCTTTGACTCTCAGCGCGGTGTCCATTTGAGCCGATGACTCCCTTCTTCCCCTTGACCACGGGAGGTGAAAGCCGAAGAATCGATGGCCGTAGGCTGCTTCGGGCTTTACGGAACCCCGGGCGAGGGATCTGAGATTCGGCTCAGGTTCCCCGTGCAGGTGACAGGCCCCCTTTGTGCATGCAAGGGAAAACATGGTATGGGTGTTTGTTTTTGTTGAGTCGGTACCCTTTTCAGGTTGGTTTGAACGCAGACTTATCTCGGTTGTTCAAAGCCGACCTTTTTGACCTTTCAGTTTTCCCTTCTTGGCATGGCTCCAAAAGGTTAGCCTTTTATTTTTTGGGTCCTTTGGGCAACTGAGTTGATGGCCAATCACCAAGAGTGCGACACATACCGGAGGGGGGCTTATACCCTTTTCCCAAGGGTTTGGTCTATTCGTTTTGTCCGAAGGTGGCGGACGCGGGGCTAGTGACGCTGGACAACGCACGCCTGGATTTGGACCGCGCGGGCGCCTATGCGCATTGCAGCAGCGACTGCAGCGCTGCGAAATGCGCCAGGGCCGGGCGCAGTTGGCGAGCGATTCCACCGATTCCGGGGGTATGACAGTTTTTGTTGTTATTGATTTTCTTCTTTCTTTTTGTTGTTCCGGGGTTTCCCCTATCGTCACCAATAAGGGAAATGTAGGGACCCTTGCATGATCGAACATATGTGGAGGTGCCTCACTTGGGATTTCATGTCTTAGATGTATTCTGCACGTTCTGCAGAGAATTTCAGTGGTGACCTTGTTTGCTAGCCAGGGGCTTCGCAGGCCATCCGTTGCAACCATGTAGGTCAGCTG